AATTTCAAGGTCATAGTTCAACATTTTTGTTGTTGTTGTTGTTTTGTATTTTGAGACAGTATGTAGCCCATGCTGGTCTCACACTCATGATCCTCTCACTACAGCCTCCTGGGGACTTGAGCTCAAAGGTTTGTTTGGTTTTTGTTTTAGTGGTTTTTCAAGGAAGAGTTTCTCTGTGTAGCCCTGGCTGTCCTGAACTCACTCTGTAGACCAGGCTGGCCTCAAACTCAGAGATCTTCCTGCCCCTACCTCCCGAGTGCTGGCATTAAAGGTGTGCCCCACCACCGCCCAGCAGCTCACAGGTTTATGATAATGGATTCCAGAGAAACCTACATGTCCACCAGCATGGAAAAGTTACATAAACTTTTGCTCATACATATTTTTAAAAATTCTATATGTACCCTTAATACAAAGCAAAAAGCCTGGAGAAATAGCTGGACATGGTGGTGCATGCCCATGATTCTAGCACTCAAGAGGCAGTAGCAAGAGGATCTTTGTGAGTTCAAGGACAGCCTGGTCTATGTAGGGAGCTGTGGTGCCTAGCAACAGTTTAATAATGGCTGGCTTTTAAGCAACTAGGGCTCAAAGTTCCTGATAGTTTTTGTCAGGCAGGGACGAAGGAGCTATAGAATCCACTAGTCACCATACTATTTAATTGTGAAGAGAACTAATTATTTTTTGGTACTGGAGAATCAAATATGGAATCTGGCATACACTAGGCAAGCATTCTACCAGTGAGCTATCCAACAACAACCCCGAGATAAGGGCTTTATCTGCTTTTTCTGCACTGCTATGTCTTCAGCATATGGAACAATGCCTAAAGTACTGTATTACATAAATATTAAATGCTGTGAGTTCAGTTTTCTATTTATACAGAAAACCTGTATATTTCTGCCCCCACTTACTAGTACAAGCACTGTTTTTTCATCTGCCCACTCAGCTTCCTCATTTCTGACCCTCTGTGATCAGTCTGCTCTTCTACATCAGTTTTCAATATCATGATACTCTCCAAAAGGATACCTGAGGTTACCTGTTCTTGCTTAAAAGACTTATTATATATTCCAGCTTTGTCACACCTCACCCACCTCTTTTTTGAGGCAGGCTGGCCTGGAACTTGCTATGTGGACTAGACTCTCAAACACAGAGATCCAATTGCTTCTGCCTCCCAAGCGCAAGCATTAAAGGCATGTGCCACCATGCCTGGCTCTTTTCCCATTCTTATGATAATCTCCTTAAAAACAAGGATCTGACTGATGGAACCTTTTCTTTTACAGCACACCTCACACATCAGCATTTCTGTTGTTTGAAGACAGATCTGGCTATATGGCCTGGTATCATTGTGTAGCCCAGGCTGGCCTCAAACTTAAAGCAATCTGTCCACCTTAGCCTCCCATGTTCTGAGAACTCAGACTTGTAAAGACAAGGCTACACCTTGCTTTTGTCTTTTGGGACAGACTCTATGTCCTGGAACTCTCTATGTAGACCAGGTTGGTCTGGAACTCACGAAGACCCTCCTGCCTCTTGCCTCTTGAGTGTTGAAGTTAAAACTATACACCACCATGCCCAGCTATTTCTTTAGTTTTTGTTTGTTTGTTTGTTTGCTTTTTATGGTACAAATAGGGTATTCATATTAGCAGGAAGTTTTGGTACCTATTCTGTGCTGATGGGCATATAGATTTATCTGGAATCTGTTTTCTATTTAAAAAGCTGTGCTAAACATTTGGTGCACACTCCTTTTGCATTTGTCCAATTTTCCCCTAGACTACATCCCTAGGATTGGAAGGCAACAGATGATTAAAATGCTAGGTCTTCAGCAGGAGCAGTTTAGAGATGTTAATCACTTTCTTTTCCATTGATATGTCTCTTTCTACCTCTTTCTCCACTCATCAGTTCACTGGCCATCTCACCCATCCCCATTGCCTAAGTTCTTCAGTGGTTTGCTGTTACACTTGGACCCAAATTTGGACTTAATTAAATGATTTAACTCAGCTCTAACTCTTCAAATCGAGTCTTTTCCTCTTCCCAACCAATTTCTCTCTGAAGCTACTTTGGTCTTCTTCAGATTCCAAACCCATCAAGACCTCCGCTCTCAGGAAATCTCTGCTTCCTTCACTTAACATGCTTAATCCCTTGTCTACTCTTTGCTTCTTTGGCAGGCTACTGATGAAAAGAGGCTTTCCCAGTGTACCCTGTTTAACACTATTTCTGTCCTTGTACAAAAACTTTATTTTTTTCCCTTCACACTTGAACTCAAGTTGTCATTACATATTTAGTTCTTTGTCACAACATGCCTCCTTTCCCACTCAATGGTAACTTCCGTAAGGTTCCATAGGGACCATTTCTGTCTTGTTTTCCCAGGGCCCGTTTCTTTTTCTGACCAATTGTCCTGAGTAGTAAGTGTCCAGTAAATCTTTAATGGATGAATGAGCCTGTGGATCGCATATGGCCATAGAACAATGGTTCTTAACTTGTGGTTCACAACCCCTTTGGGGGTCACATATTAGATATCCTGCAGATCAGACATTTACATTACAATTCTTAACAGTAAGAAATTAGTTATGAAGTAGCAACAAAATAATTTTTTGGTTGGGGGGGGGTCACCAAAACTGTATTAAGGGGTCTCAACATTAGGAAGGCTGAGAACCACTGCCATAGAGGATCACTGAACAAGCAGGACTCGAGTTCATGCAGGACCACAAAAATAACATTCTTGTTTGTCCTGACAAAGAGTTGGTAGTGATGCCCCATGTATGTGAAGATCATCTGAGTCACACCAATTGAATCATGACATGACTTCCACAATCAGGCAACCATTTATACCTACCTGAACCTCAGATCAGAACTAGGAAATACCCAGATACCCAGTGTGGATGGACCTGGGAGTGGCTTCACTTTGAGACACCTTTGCATAGCTTAGGAACAAGCTCTAGAGTCCTGCTCTATGGCTGGAGGAAGAACTATTTAGGACTTCTCAAGGAAGGTCACCCTTACTGTCATTTTAGTTCCCTCTTTTGCTTTTAGGCATGCCAAGAGACTGAAAACAGGAACTTGTAGCTTCCATTCTGCATCACAGCTGGTGCTTTGATCAGAATGGAGGGAAGGAATAGATTCCACTGATACTGAACCCCTGCCTCTTTAGGGCAGTGTACGGACTGAGGCAGCTCTGCTCATAATCAGAGCCAGATGTGTAGGCCTGGTGAGAACACTGCCCTACAGCTTCCAGGAAATCTGTGTCCATCCACCTGCCTACCAGGTCTCAACTAACAGCAATGACAAGGACCAAAGAAGTAAGTATAACCAAGGCTTCTGTGTAGTCCAAGTAGTACACCCTTAGCCTCTACAAAGATTCCAAGATGTTCATACTGCCTCCTATCTGAGGCCCAGGAATTATGCTATATTGGATAATATCTTATCTCTCCCATAACCTTTCTTTCTCTTTCTTCCTTTCTTCCTTCCTTCCTTCCTTCTTTCTTTTTTACCAAGACAGGGTCTCTTTGTGCAGTTTTTGGAGTCTACCCTGGAACTCACTCTGTAGACCAGGCTGGCCTCAAACTCACAGAGATCTGCCTGCCTCTGCCTCCTGAATGCTGGGATTAAAGGCGTGCCCCACTACAGCCTGGGAGCTTCTCCCATAACCTCTTATGACCAACATTCCCAGATCCACTATTCCTCAAATCTTGTGTACCTTCTCTGCCAGTCATCATGCTAAGTGCAAGGAGCACAAAATGAAGAAGACAGTGTAATTTACTGTGAAGAGAATGACAGCTACAGATCCAACTCTGCTCTTCAGTCAATAATGTGGCCTAATTTCTCTGTGCTTCAGTCTCTAGTAGAGAAAGAAATTGTAGTCCCTACCTCCCAGGTCACTGAATACTGCTTTAATTATCTCTGGGATTAGTAGTCCTACCATGAGAGACTAGAGCTCTGGAATGCAATGTGAAAACCTCAATTCCATTGTGAGGAAAGGGCAGCAACCTTGGAACACGGAGCTGGGAAGGATTAGGGTCCAGGGCTTTAGGAATGACTTCCACCACTGACCATAGAGTCTCTTACATCCAGGCTCCACCTGGAGAAGCCTTAAGGATTGCTCTCACATGACTAAAACTGCTCTCCTTGCAGCCCTGGCTGTATACTGGATAAGAGTCAACCTCTCCTATTTTGTAGCTCCAGAAAGGAGGGGGCAGGGAACTGCCTGTATTTACAGGGCGAACAGAGATACAGGGCCTGGGAATGAGGAATTAGCAAGTGGCTCAGGGCCCCAGGAAATCACTCATTTTTTTTTTTTTTTTAAGTTTTCCGAGACAGGGTTTCTCTGTGTAGCCCTGACTATCCTGGAACTCGCTCTGTAGCCCAGGCTGGCCTCGAATTCACAAAGATCCACCTGCCTCTGCCTCCTGAGTACTGGGATTGAAGGCATGCATTCAGGGATTCACTCTTGCTCTCCTCTCCTGAAGTAAAAAAAAAAAAAAAAAAAGCAAACCGGAACTGGACTCTAGGGTTATAAAGAAAGACTAGACCATGGAGGTGGAAGGAGGGCATGTTCAGGGACTCTAAATGAGTAGGAGGTGTAGATAATCGAGATACATTGTATATATGTGTGAAATTGTCAAAGAATAAGTAAAAATACTCTTTAGGGCCTGGAGAGATGACTTAGCAGTTAAGAGCTCCCTTTGTTCTTGCAGAGGACCTAGGTTTGGTGCCCAGCACCTACATGATAGCAAACAACCATCTCTAACCCCAGATTCAGGGGATCTAACACTCCTTTCTGGCATCCACAGACAATGCAATCATGTAGTATAAGACAAATACATAAACACAATACCCCTATTAATACAATTAAATGAATATTTAAAACAAAAAAATTAAAAATATTCTTTAAAAATTCCATCACTTGTAGAGACTGTGTCCTCTGCCTATCGGCTTGATCACTTTTAAGTTCAAAGTAGATACCAACACCCCAACCCTTCAGAGACCCACCCCACAAGAACCTAGCAAAAACACCTTGGCGAACACATTTATTTAATATGGGGTGGGGTATTGCTGTCTCTGTCAGTGTGTATGGGGTGGTAGGGAGACAACCAGAGGGACTTCTGTTCTGAAGTAAGAGGCTGTTCTGGCCCCAGGCTGGGGGGCAGAGAGCAGACTGAGGGTGTAAGGTGGGGGGTGTGTTAAAGGGGGTAGGGTGAAGCTCTGCACACATCCTTTGGACCAGTCCAGGCCCACCCAGTCACCAAAGCAAGAACCGAATAAATAAAGTGCAACCGTGGGGTTGGGGAGGAAGGGAAGGGCACTGGGCACACCCACGCCCACAGCCCACATTCAGTGCTGCCGGGTCTGGCCCACCTCTTAGCCAGACCCTCTTGTCCAATCACCCCTATGTCCGTCCCTCCATGAGCCAAGCAGGGCCCTTGTGTAGCTACTGGAGGTAGCGATAGGCCTTAAAGCAGTGGTTGCCAGCATCAGCCACTACCACGTGGCCATCCGAGGTCAATGCCAAGCCCTGTGGGCCATATAGTGGCTCTGCAGATGTGTTGATATAGGACAGGAAGGAGCCAGAGCTGTCGAATACCTGGGAAAGAAGTGGAGAATGGAAGCAGAAGTAGTCAGGCAGAGAAGAAGCTCAGCACGACGTTTCACTCTAGTCATCCCCAGGCCCCACTCACCTGGATTCGGCTATTGCCCCAGTCGGCCACGATGATGTTCCCATTGGAATCCACAGCTACTCCCGTGGGGGCATTGAACTGTCCATTGCCCTCGCCATGTGAGCCAAATTTGAAGAGGAACTCTCCATCGGCACTGTACACCTGGTGGGGGAAGGGGCTAGGGACTGGGGACCTGACCTCAGGCAGAGGGCAAGGCCTGGAGGGTGGGGTAAAGCTCCAGGGAGAATTCCCAGATCTGCAGCTTAGGCCAGAAATCCTTTTCAGACATCACACACAGTATCCCACTGCCCATCAGACATTCCTGCTGATGCTTCCCTGGGAGAGCGGTATTTCCCATCTCTCTATCTCAATACTGCTACCACCTTGCTGTCACGGATTGTTCTCAGCTGGACAGGAAACAATTGAACACATCCCTGATTCTGACTCAAGTCTCTTCCTTATATATATACTGCTATACCTGTGCCAAGGTCCAGGCTCTCATCATTTCTCATCTAGATCACTGCCTCTAGCACTGCCCTAGTCATTGTGACCTTTTCTAAAATGAATAGAGGTTCATTTAACAGGGGTTCCTTTCTAAGATGAACAGGGGTTCCTTAAGCACTCCCCATTGCTCTTAAAAAGAGAGACAGCCCCTCCATGGGACACACAGGTCTCATCCTCACCTTGTACTAGCATACCTAGTCTGAATTACCCATGGTTTCCAGAGCTGACTTCCATGGTCTTTTCCTGTGTCTTTTTTTAAATAGTGTATCATGTATCCCAGGTGGTCCTTGAATTCATGTAGACAAGGATGCCCCTGAACTCCTGATCTTTTTGCCTTCATCTCCAAGTGCTGGGATTACTGCTGTGTATCACCACACCTGACCTCTTCTGTGTCCTCTGCCCGAAACCCCCTCCTTCTCCATTTTTTGGCTAATTCTACTGGTGACTCGGGTCTTCCCCTGTCCCTCCCACAGTTCCCTGCACCTATCGGAGAATCTATTACTTCCGATTGTAATTTCCTGACTGTCTTCTCTTCCCTGACAGACTCTAACCAAGGAGACAGGAAATGTGTGTACTTTACTCAGCCCTGAACCCCCAGCGGCTAGCACAGGGCCTGGGACAAAGTCGCCATGCCATCAATGTTTATTGGTTCAATGAAGGGTTTCAAGGGGGCTTGGGAGAAGGAGGGAGGGAGGGAGGAAAGGAGTTTTTTGAAGAGGAGGGGCCAATGGGACAGGGATCATGGAAGGAGGGAGGGAGAACACTGACCTTCACTGAGTGGTTATGGAAATCTGTTACTACAATCTCATTCTTGTTGTTCACAGCCACAAAGTGGGGCCCTGAAAATAGAAAGTAGGTCTTAAAGCATTAAGCTGAGGCACTCAGTCAGGAAAAGGGTAGGATTTCTGGGCAGGGTGAGATACCATGTCTCTGAGAGGATGGAACTAGATGTTAGGAAAGGGGAATTGGAGTCAAGATATAGAAGGGGTCTTCACACCTGGAGGACCCTGGGAAATTCTATGGAACTGGAGTATCGCAGCCTGGATCTTGCGGTTCTTCTCTCGTACCTGCAAAGTGGCGGTCAGTGGCCCCACGGCCTCCAAAACGCCCAACCAGCTTGCCATTGGGCTGGAAGGTGAAGACACAGCAAGATTTGTTGTCCACCACAATGATATGTCCATTCCGGTCCACAGCCACTCCTTTGGGTCCCATGAGGCGGCCAGCTCCAATCTTGGTCTGTAGGAAGGGCATACTATAAGGGACTTTATCCTGACTAGTACCGTAGAGAATAAGGTCCTGGCCTGGTAGCAAAGCAGAACCTTGAGTTGGTGATAGTCCACTCTAGGCCCTGACCTAACGTGGTCAGTGGAGCAGGTCACCAGGGGTTCAAAGCACAGCAACAGCAAGCTTCTTACCTTGAACTTGCCCTCGGGGGAGAAGATGCTGACCCAACGGTTGTCATAGTCTGCCACAATAATGTCTCCATTGGTGTCCACTGCCACACCTGTGGGACGCTGTAGTTGCCCAGGTGAGCGCCCACGGACCCCAAATCGGAACTTGAACTGGCCCTCATTGGAGAAAACCTGGAGTGGAGGAGCAAGGGAGGGAGCAGGGAGGAGGGGAAACACTGTGGGTACAGAGGAAAGGGAGCCGGGTCCTAGCAAGATCCCATTTATTCAGTCATTCAACAAGCACTTGCGGACACCATGCCAGGGGTACAGAGGAAGCACATGAGAGATACCTTAGAGGACTTGCAGTAGGGGCGTGAAGGGGAGTGTGAGAACACAAACGGAACCAAGGGGACAGCGGGACAAGGCACCAAGAGAAGGAGACATGTGAGCCAACAGCCTGTAAAGATGTCAATTAGACCCAGCGAGAACTACTTTTGAAAGGTACAGAGTCTAGTTAGCATGAACCCTGTCTGAGGACCTCACTAGTGTGGCTGGAGTAGTCAACAGGAATTACATTTCACCCGGGCTATAATGAGGAGCCACTGAAAATTTATGGCCAGAGAAGTGACAGATCTGCTTTTACAAAGGTACTCTAACAGGAAAGAGACAGGACTGGAAGGTGGCCAACCAGTTAGAAGCTGTAGCAGGAATCCAGATGAAAGAGAATGGTGGTTTGGACCAAGGAAACTACCGAGAGGGAAGCAGACGGACTCAAAAGGAATACAGGAGGAAAACGCAACAGAATTTCACAGCTGAGTGGAAAAGGGTAGGTGAGAAGGAAAAAGCCCACAAGGATTGTTCCCTTCGGTTTGTGGGCTAAAAAGACAACCTTTTTTCTGGACAGACTGAATTTTTTTTTTTAAAGGTTTTCATTTTATGTGTATGGATGTTTTTCCTGCATGTATCTCTGTACACCACCAGTGCCAGGTGTCCATGGAGACCAGAAGAGGGCACTAGATCCCCGGAAACTGGAGTAACAGACAGTCGTGAGCTGCCATGAGGATGCTGGGAATCAAACCCTGGTCCTCTGGAAGAGCAGCCAGTGCTCTTTTGTTTTGTTTTGTTTTTCGAGACAGGGTTTCTCTGTGTAGCTTTGGAGCCTGTCCTGGAACTCACTTGGTAGCCTCAGGCTGGCCTCGAACTCACAGAGATCCACCTGCCTCTGCCTCCTGAGTGCTGGGATTAAAGGCGTGCACCACCACTGCCCGGCGCAGCCAGTGCTCTTAATCACTACACAACTCTCCAGTGACCCACCCAGAATGGATCTTTCCATCTCCCCTTCTCCTACTCCTCCACCTTAGCCTCTCAAGATGCTAAGATCTCTTCATCCTAAAGCATCTCTTTTAATCTTCTTTTCCTCTTAAACTACATCTTCTAACTTAACAGCTCCATTACTCATTGCATAATTCTTATATACTCCATGTTGTTACAGCCTCTGGGGACACAGGATGGGTCAGAGCCAAGAAGCTACCACAGAGAGCTCAAGTTCTGTGCCTCGGGCTTGATATTCAGTTCAGCCCTGCTCTTTCCTTCATGGTCACCTGGGGATAGGTCTTCCAGACCCATCCTCCCACGGCACATCACCTTCATGACTGTATAGCAAGACCTCACCTGGTCAGTCAGCACTCTGCACTGGTCCTATGCAAAGCCAAAATTGTCAGGAGAAAGAAAGTACCACAGGGTAAGGAAAGGAAGTGAGGGGAAATAAAATGAACAGCTACATCAGCAGTGAGGCAGTCCAGCAGCCGTTTCTCATCCTGGCAGCTTCAACTCAGATTCAACAGTGGGGAGGGTCTGGAAAGCCTCATTCTTCCCATCCTTTCTCACACACCCTATCAGAAATGGCCAACTCCTATTTATCTTTTAGAGTTCCAAAATTTCCAGGTCATTTCTTCAGTTTCCACTTTATTTAAATCAGCACATACATGTAAAGTTGGGGCCCTACAGTATATATTGTATAGCTTCCTTTATAACAACTGCCACTTTGTGGCTGTATATCTGTGGCCCGCCCCTTCTAAGGATGCAAGCCCTGTTTGGAGTTGGTGCTGCATCACTTTTGTCTGCTGCTGCATTTTCAGTTGTATATAGCTTCTGGTATCTAGGATGTATCCAACCAACCAAAGAATCTTCCAGTTCAATCTCAGGCCTAAACTTGATGGACAGATCAATTTGGAAGCCACACAGCAACCTCAAAACTCAAGAGGGATAAAAGTGAACTCATCAACTTAACACTGGGCCTGATTCTTAATGGGAACACCACTGACCCAGCCCACCAAGTCCTCATTCTCCATCCTGTCCCCTTCTCCCATGACATTCGATACTCAGTAAAAACTGCTACATTATTTCCTCCACAGCACTAGAATTTGCTGGACTCTCTCTCATTTTGGCCCCTACACCTCTCTCCTATACCATGGTAACATTAAGTAGATCTCTGACTTTAAGGATCTCAACAGAAAATGACAACAACAAAAAAGATAAAACATCATAAAAACGACAAACCAACCCAGAAAAGAAGTGTGAAAACTACCATAGCAAAGGGCTGAGGGAGGACAGAAGAATGTGATCAGCATGCTGCCTGCAGGGAAGGAGGATGTTCCCAGAGAGAGCTAACAAATTTCTGGACTAAGACAATGACACGATGCTGGATATTTAGAATTAAATTATTCATTCAAAAGTCATGAGGCATTTTCTCGTTGCTGGGCAGATGTGCTATGTTAGTAGGGTTCCACCCTGCACTATAGGGCAAGCTCACAAGGACCCCCAAGCCTCATGAGAAAAGTGGGGGAGTCACTTCCTATAGATGTGAGCTCAGCCCACATCAGTCCTGAGGCGTCCAGAGTAAGAGAGGTAAGCACTCAGCTTTGGAATCCAAGAACAGGCTTCCTGCAGCTCTGACATCAGGGTGGACTTGGAAGCAGAAAGAAGCAAGCATGGTTACAGAGTAGCAGGTGTCTGGAACAGAGAACTCTGCCAGGCCTCTCACAACCAGAGGGTCAAGCAGCACCAGCTTTTCTGTGTGTGTGAACAACAGGACAGCGGTCCCTAAATCTCAACCTTTGTGCTAGAAAGCATTTCTGGCCTAAAGGGAAGAAAGGAGAGGGAGGTGGAAGGTGATCCTGAGTAGAATCCCAGCATTACCCCGGAACTCCCAAGTACCCCTCTCATCATCTAGGCTGGTCCCAAATCCCTTCCTGGGTTTCTCTGTTCCTCTACCCTAAGAAAAAAGTGAGCCGGCAGGCCTGAGAATCTGGCTGCAAGGGTTTCTGCTAGGTGGAGTCGGGTCAGGGAGTTGCTGAGAGTACCAAGAAAAGCAGAACTGGACTCATGACAAGGATATTCAGGCAGCGTAAGAAATTTAAAGGTATGGGTGTTTCAAAGTAAGGATCTTCAGGTTAAGGTGTAGCTGCACAATAATACATTTCTAAGAATTGAGGTACACAGTAGCTAATCTCACAGTGTAAAACCAAAATTCCATCTTCAAAAATCACTTCTAAAACCATTTACAATCTGACCTCAGCCACTCCAAGTTCCTAATAGCCAGCTTCTTGCAGCCAGAATGGGATGTGAACGTCCCGCTCCAGCACTGTCCCATCTCCTTGCCTTTGTTTACAGTCTACACCTGGACAATGATTTTAACAACAGCTAGGTGTTAGGTATACTACATTACATCATTTAATACTCCCAACAATCCTGAAAAATGCTTTTCCTAATTTTACACATGAGTTAACTACAGTGCCAAGGGGTCACATGACTTGCTAGTACAGGGAGAGCCAGGATTCAAGCTGAGGTGTCTGGTTTCAGAGCCCAAGCGTTCAATCACTACACTGTCTACCACACTCACACCCACTGTGCTAGGATCAGTGCTTTCTGCAAGGAATAGAGGGAAGGAAAACCACATTTCCTGGTTGTAGCAAGGAGCTTGCAGTACATCGGAGACCATGAGCACTGAGTGTGATTGATGTCTGAATCAGCTGAGGTACAAGGTAAAGAAACGCAGGTACAGAACCACTTGAGGTTGTGTGCCACCCTTGAGCTGATGAAAGGCACTCCCTTTTAATTCTCTAGTCACCCAGATAGCTGCATTCTCCAGGCAGATAACATACCCCGGAGCCAGACTGGTATACTGGAAGATAGCAGGGAAGGGCAGACCTGCAACCTGACCACTATGATAAAGTAGACCAGCCAGCAGACGGCTCAAGAAAAGACAGAGAGGAAGAAGGCAGGAGCCAATCTAGGAGCTCACACAGCCTTAGCATGGCCTGGGAAGCAAAGGCAACAAGCACAAGAACCCTGGCTCTGACTGAAGGTGACTGAATCAAGCAAGAGGGGCTTGATTCACAGCTCTTTAAAGATGGTTCTAACTGTGGCTTTGATCTTCAGGAGGTGACCCGAAGGCTGTGCTGTGCAAATCCTTTCTGGTACTAAAGGAGCTAGGTAAAGACTCACCTGAATACATTGGTTGTTGCTGTCTGCTACCACTATGCGGCCACTGCTCGCGGCAGACACACCTTGTAAATTGGTGAATTCACCTTTCTCCCTTCCACGGCTGCCTGTGGGTAAGAGATGAGAAGGAAAACACAAATTAACTGACATCAGTCTGAACCTCTCTCCCTTCCTCACTGAGACCCCTGCCTGAGCCAGGCCCCACCACCTTTCCCTGGGTCCCCATCAGGCCCTCCCCTCAATCTTCATCCAACCCTCCCCCTGGCCTTCATTTGGCTCTGCGCTTGGCCTACCTACCAACACGAAAGACGAGTTCATCCTCAATCGGGTTGTCCTTCCGTTTGCCACCAGTGCTGTACATGGAACTGGGTCTACGCACTGCCTTCTGGCGCACATGGCTGCCAGGACCACCAGGAGACTTGACCCGGCGCTTCACATCATCTGGGGACGGTGGAAGGTCCCCGGGTCGCAGGGCACGCACACGGAAGGGGCTGCCACGAACCGGCTGTCCATAGAGCAGCACCGAGAGGAGCAGGTCGCCTTCTGTGCGTGCAGTATACACCAGCTCATATGTGCCATTCTTGTGGTCCACCACCGGCACTGCAAGGCGTGTGCCATCAGGGCCGGTGATCTCTGCACACAGCTCCGCGCTGCCTGTGCGCACCAGCCGCCCATCTTTGTCTTTGGTGGTGACAGTGAGTGAAGCAGGCTGGCCGACTAGCGCCTGACGCAGGCCCTCGCCAGTGGCCACCGTCTCATGTGCGGTGGCACTGGTGGTGAGCAGTGCACCCAGATTGAGCACCGATCTCCGCAATCCATCTACTTCAAGGACCAGTTCCAGCTGTGCATTCTCATGTGGCCTTTCCGGGAAGGCCTGAGCCGCCAGTGCGGCCAGCCTCTCTCGCATGTGCTTTCTCACTAGCAATACCTCAGGGGCAGAGCCCAGTCTCAATGCCTGCTCCGCGAAGCTGCAGCTACTGCCAATGTGTTCCTGACCCTGGCGCAGAGTGTCTAACTGTGTCTGCAACACCTGTAGAAGAAGAGGAGATGGAGTGGGTGTGCAGACTGGCAAAAGTGAAGCTGCTGCGATGACCGATGACCATGGCAGGAAAGAAATACACAGAGATGCATGTGGACAGGGAGGGAGATGACCACAGCAGTGACAGACCGTGTGG